GAATGTTCTTGATAAATTTCCTTAAATCACTTTCAGTTATTAATTAAAAAATATTTAATTAATATAAATTTTTTTTTCATACATAAAAACAAAGTAGATTTAAGTGGTATCTACAGCATTTTTTTAGCTTGCTGAAGATATTTATATTTAAAGTAAATAATAATAATACGAAAAATAGATATAACTAGAAAAAATCTTCTATAAAATTAGTAGAAAGAAATAACAGAGACTTTTGACTTTCATAATCATTTAGGGTATCATTACAAGGCATTTAGAAAAACTAGGACTAGGTCTGTATGCTTAAAAAAATGTACCGTCACTAATGTTGGAAGACAAATTTAGAACAACTAGAAAACTCGACAGACCAAGAAAAAATTGAGGTGACAGTGCGCGGCAAGATTTCCGCAAGGTGAATATCAGTAACTGGAAACCAAAAAGAAAAAAAAGAAAAAAATTGATAGTGTGAAACTAGCTAAGTTGTTGAGTGGACCATATATAATAATGATAATGATAGTCAATTTAAGATAAGATCGTTTTCTTGACAGCTGGTTAAAGTGTTCATCAGTAATGACGAGGGATCTATAAAATTATCTGATCTAATAATTGTTATCGAAGTAAAATAAAAAACTGCAACGATAACTGGAACTGAGCCAATATAATTTTTGATCTGTTTTTAGACAATTTCCTAAAGCTTTAAGTCCTTTTCGTAACCTAACTTTCTTAATATAATTTTTTTTTTAAATAATCTTTTTAACATAAACTGTTCTTAACAGAGCTTTCTTAACACCACAACTGTAAACTACATGGAGTTAAGGAAATATTTTGTTAAGAAAAAACCAACAACAAAAATCTAAAAACATTCCTGTTTTTGACGAAAGACTTTTTAACAGACTTTTATTTTATTTATGAGTTACAATTTAAATTATTTAAAAATGTTTAAAATAAATTTCCATTCACAGTAAAAAAACAATATTTTATTTCATTTTTCAAATAAATAAAAATTAAAATTGTGTGCAATGTTTTATTTATATATACGAAGGGTACTCCTTAAATTATTGTTTTCGGTATAAAATGTACTTGATTGACGCGTACTCTAAATGTTTATATAATAATGATTTATTTAAATTAAATGCGAAAGAATTACTAATTTTTAAGTTTCGATATTAAAGAAATTATTTCGTACAATAAACAATAAATATTTCAGAAAATAGAATTTTTTCCTAAAACTTTTGCCACCAAATGTGCGTCAATCATGACGATGACTAATAGGCAAAAACCATTTTTAAGTAATTAAATAAATTTTATTAATTAAAAATTTGTAACTGAAATAGAAATAAAAAAAGCAAACTCAAGCACTCCCTTTTGACACCCTCTACTGCCCATTGCACGAAATAAAACTTTCTTCGGAATCTATTTGTGTATTTCTTCTTGTAAATTTTTATTTATTTTCTTTCTTTTTGTCAAAATATTGCAAATTTTGCAAAGAAAAGCTGAGACGCGTCAAAAGTCAAAGAACTCAGAAGACAACCGCACAAAAATGTAAACAGAGAACAACAGAGTCAGTGCGATGAGTAGAGTAAGTAGTTCCCGTTTTGTTGTTGTGCTCCTACGCAGCATGTTTGATGCTCCGCAATGGCACAATAGCGGCAATAACAGAAGCAGTAGAGAAGGCATGATGACAGCCAGGCAGTCAGGCAATTGGGCAAGTAGCACAAAATTTTTGTGAATGAATGTTTGCACAGCAAAGAACATTGAAAACTGAAAACTGAACACTGAACACCAAAAGACAAAGCAGCGCAGCAGCAGCGGCAATAGTAGCAGCAGCTGCAACACTAAAAATGTGTAGTAAAGTGTAAAGTGCAAAGACAGCAGTAAGCAGAAGGAAGAAGTGTCATACGGCGGCAACAAGCAGAATTACTCGTAAATTGAATGACTGCTGACTGCTGCAGTTTACAGTTCGCAGTTTGTAGTTGGCAGCGAAAAGCGTAGCAAAAATTGTAGTAATTTTTGGCTTTGGCACAGGAGCACAGCAATTCGCAAGTATATTGAGGAAAACATAAAATGAATTTGTAAGTTCAAGGAATATTTTTATCAACAGGATACAAACAATTTACGCATTCCTTATGAATTTCTTGGTACACCCAATTTCTGTAAGAAATTTTCGCGCTTTTTAAGAAAGCAACCAGCCAAGTGCGGGGTGCTAAGATTTTCTACCATTTTCTACTTTGAAGTTAGTGTGATGAAGCTGGTGTGAAGTTGGGTAGCTACGGGTTTATGTTTGTAGGGAGGGTGGGGGTCTGAAGAATGTTGGCTTCTTATAATTTCTTTTGTTTTAGTTTTTGTCCACACTATTTGTGCACATAAAGCAAAGTCTTTATTATTCCTAGTATCTCCCTACAAAGTCTTTGAGTGCGTAGTTATGTGTGTGTGTGTGTGTATGTATGTGGGTATGTTTAGTAGATTGTGATTGTGAGTGTGAATGTGTCTGTTTGTTTGATTGTGTGTAGTGCAAAGTTTTTTGGGTGTGTTTTGTTGGCGCCTTGTAAAGCAGCAATTTTACGTTTATTTTCACATTGTTTGCACTTTGTCTGCTTTGTTTCTTTTAATTTTTCTATAGTTTTTCCTCCTTTCGGTCCTTTTTTGGTGTTCTTTGCTCTTGTATTGTTTGTAGATTTTTCATTTATTTTCAATAAATTAACAAAGAAACGTTGATTGCGGTAAAGCGCTGCCATTACGGGGTGCAAGTGTTGGTATAAGCACACACACAGTGATGGCAAGAATAAAACAGTTGGTGTGTGTACGGGGGTGGGTGTAAATAATTAAATTTGCAGTACATTAACTTGCAATTTTTAAAAGTTTTACACTTATTTAAATGCATAAAGAAATAAAACCAGCAGAAAACTAGACAAACTCTTGCATATAATAGAAGGAAAAGTTAAGTATGTGCAATGTTGAGGCGTATATACATATACATATATATATTCCTTTTATATTTACACTTACATTAATTTAATTTAAACAAATCAATCGATATTTATATAAAATAACTAATAAAAAGGACAAAGCAATCACTCAATTAAAGAATTGTGAGGGGAGAATTCTTATTGGTGAATAAAACAGCTGTTAATTTGAGCGATAGGTGCTCCATTGAGGTGAATTTAAAATGTTGAATACGTATCATATATTAGGGCCATGTACGAGTTTGTGTAAATTGATGGTAAATTGAGGGAAATAATATATTATGCCGATATGGCAGCGAATGTTTGTGTTGACCAGACTTTCGAGTAGGGTAAATTAGATAAAAATTAGCTAAATTAGATATTACCATTACAAAAATGTTATAAGATGTTTAATAAATAACTAAATAAATTGGAAAACTTTAATAAATTTGAAAATAAAAATAATACATAAGTGCAATAAATAAATAAATAAATATTTACATGAATGCAGTGCAAAAAATTCCTAGAAAATTTCAATGTACATTACCTCAATTTAATCGAACTCCTCTTATTCCAATTAATTTTTATTATTTCAATAAATTTTTTAAAAAATTTTTTTAATTATTTAACTTATAATAATTTTTCAATTACTTCTTTTTAAATTAATTGTTTTATTTTCATTAAATAATTTTTTTTCAAATAAATTTTTTTTAAATTAATTAATTATTTAACTTATAATCATTTTTCAAATACTTATTTTTAATTAATTGGTTTATTCATATTAATTTTTATCAATTAATTTTTTTAAAATTTAATCTTTTTTAATTAAATTTTTTAAAAATTATTTTTTTTTTTGCTACATTTTCGTAGATGTTCTTAAACTTACTTATAGTTTTTATTATATTAATAAGTGTGTGCGTATGTAGATATGTATAAATGTAAGTAAATAAAATAATTTCACTAAAAAGCAAGTTCATTGTTTCTAATTTGTAATTATTAATTATCAATTATTAATTATTAAGAATTAAAAAATAGCAACTTTGTAGTGCTAAATGTTAACCTTGCAGTTGAAATCAATGTCCAATGTTTTTTTTTAATTAATAGTATGAAGTTTGTGTATATATACAAGATATAGTACTATACTATACTATAACATAAAATCCATATCCTGAGTACCCTTAAAAGCACTTTGGTATTTCATATGTTATACAATAACGCGTGTTTATTTAATTTTTATAGAAATTTAAAAAAATCAAATAAAACGTGTAGACATATGTCATTTACATATTTTATACTAGTTATTTGGGTCATCCTTAGCGATATATATTTGCAAAGTTTATGTTGAGAGGTGCAGCTAACAAATTATACAAAACGCTTTTAACCACTTGACTTTTAGAGTGCATAAATGCATTTCTTTAACAAAAATTAAATTATTTTGTTATTGTTTATACTTAATTTAGTTTATTTAGTTAATAAACAAAAGCCAACAAAATCTAACAAAAGTGCAACAAATGATTATTTTTGCATTGAATTCGAAATCAAAATTGCATAATTTGCAATGTAAATTTTTTTCCTAATGTGCGCATTTTGTAAAATTTTTATTATTTATTTTTTTTTATTTTTTATTTTTTATTTTTTAAATTTTGTTTACATAAGAAATTGCATTTAATATAATTTCATTTGTTTTATTTGAAATTGTGACAGAGTTTATGTGGCTTGTCGTAGCCGACTTCGCAAAAGTGCCTTTTAAGTCGATTCGCCCATTCGCCCGTCTTCGAAATAATTTCATGTTAATGACTACAAATTGCGAAATGATGTTCATTTCGAGTGCAAAATCTGAGCAAATATTTAAATTAATATTATTATTAATAATTTTTATAAATATAATTTCATAGTCATTAGACGTAATGATGTGCTTTTGCTTTGTAAACTATTTTTATGATTTTTAGTGTAATTTTATTTGCTGCGACGATACAATAAAAATGTTTATTTTGTTTAACAAATAAAAAATTTTATTTTAATTTCTCAAGTTTTAAACACTGACTGTGTCAAGTCTATAATTTAGAACTAAAATGTTAAATATAATTTTAAAATATTTATTCATACTAATATTTACATATAATAAATGCTAATGTCAATAAAGCAATATATTTTTTTTCTCTTGAAAGACTTAATTACGAATTTAGTCAAGAAATATCATTCTCTTTTGGAAGAAAGATTGGGTGAATCAGATTAGGCATGACTAATATAACACACACACACATCAAAGAAACAATCTATATAAAAACAGAAGAAAATAAAATATAATTACCCTTAGCGACCCTTTTACTCTATATCAACATGCGTAACGAAAAAGGTTAGGGGTTAAGTAGCGGTAGCTAACTCTCTCTCACTCTCCCTAAAAGTGTACTATTTTAGTAATATCTTAGAATATTTTAACATGAAAGGAGAGCCGTCTCAATAGGGAAATGCGAAAATATGAGTATGGACAGATTACCCATTTGAGGACTTATATTTTAGTTAATGATATTTGAGTTTATCATTTAAATTTATAATAGATATTATAATAGATACACCGCAATATGGGATATAAGAATAGTGAATATTTGGGCATAGTCAGATTCCTTATTTGATAACTTATTATTTTAGTTAATAATATAATAACAGATATTGTAAGAAATTTCGTCAAGTATTCATTTAAATTTATAACAGATATTATAATAGATGTATCCCAATATTTGACATACGGGTAGTGAAAATAAAGGCATAGCCAGTTTCTCCATTTCATGATATATTTTTCACTAAATCATGCAATAATAGCTATTGAATAGAATTTATTTAAGTATATATTTACAATTATAATAGATATTAAATGGAACTGCTCAGATAACACATTTATTTTATTTTATTTTTTTTGTGCTTATTATTCTTAATATAAGAAAATACCACAAATTTATTTTCTCGGGTCCACTTCCTTGTGATCCATTGCTTTTATTCAAAATGCAAGGAGTGAAATTAGGTGTACTTTTTCGGCCGTTTTATATTATACCTAAGACTATATATTCTAGAATGACCCTATTATTAGAAGTTAATTCAATGACAATTACTAATTTTATTATTGCAGCTATTAGTTATTTATTTAGATTATTTAGTTATCACAATTAGATATGCAGTCAGAGAGACTTTGGTATATGGATTAATGTAATACTCAAAACAATACATTAAAATAATAATATGAAAAATTATTTTGAAATGTTCCAATATACCAATATTTTTAAACTGGCTAATTGAACAATTTTTTTAAATAATCCACAGCTTTTTAAATTATTATTCAAAATTATATATTATTAGCACTAATATTTTGACTATAGTCAATAGAAATTTTCAGAGCACTGAACCCTTGACTATAGTAGAAATATTAGTGACTTATAACATGAAATATAAATAAATTATTTAATAAAAAATATAATGTTTAATAATGTTTCAAAATAGCATCAATCCGTCAGCTTAAAAATATTGTCAAAGCCCTTAGGTAGGTATCATTCTCTTCATTACTACCTTAAAATATTTTTTAAAAAAGGAACTTTTGTAGTCAAGTCATAGTCAAATAGATAGACACCAATATTTCAATGACTGTACACTGTAATCAAAATATCGGTAATAATAAAATATATTTTTTAAATTAATCTAAAACGTTGTGTATAATTCAACACTGACCAATCAACACTGACCGTTCAAAAATATTTTAATAAAAGTTTGTAATTATTATTATAATAAGAGGGAACTATAGGAGGCAACAACCTCCTATAACTTTTTACAATCATCAAGCGATTGTAAAATGTTATATTGGCTTAAGGTACTAAAATTTTTTTAAGGATAGATTCAATATGTAATGTGGGCCGGTTAGAATTAGTTTTTATTAAAGACTAAATTTAACAATTATAGTATAAAAATATTTTATTAATATTATTAGCAGTAATATTTTATAGAAAATGGTAGAGAATATATCAGCTAATTTAATCAGCTAATTTAATTTAAGAAACGAAGTATAATAAGTATTATATGTACATATATGTATTTTATAAGTATGCTAAACCTTTTATTTTTGATTTTTGATATTAAATTTTAAATTTTTAAATACTAAAATGATTAATATGTATAACTATTTTTTTTCTTATTAATCTAATAACTAATTAAGAAATGTGAATCATATTTAGTTTAAATATAAACAATGTTTGTGTGGAACTTAAAATTATGAGGTTGAAAATTTAGTTTTGAATTGAATATATAGATAATGATATATACCTTAATACTTTTATTACAATAAATTTGAATTTAAAACGGAAATAAAATTAAAATAATTTTTTAAAAATTTCTTGGAAAAAATATCATCGCACTACAATTTACTCTTTTTATGACTGTGACTCAGAAAAATTTTGCCATTCTTTAGATTTTAATTAATAAAAAATGTATAAAATTAATATTCATTTTACTTTATGAATAAGTAATTTAAAATCCTGTTTAATAATTAATATCTCATTTAAACTTAATTTTTCTACTATGGAAAATTAATTAAGTCAAAAAATTAAGTCAACTAAAGTAAGATACTTTGAAGTATCCGCAAGATATTATTTGGAAAATCCAAATATTTTACTCAATTAAGTAAATTATTGTCATCAATATAGAAAGATTACTTTTTAAATTGATAATATTTTCATAAAACCACACTACGGCTATAAACTGGAGAAGGCTATATATATGTTAGACTATAGTCGAAATATTGGTGGAAATAAAGTATAATGTTTAAAAATGATGTGAAAAGTTGTGTATTATTATAAGTTGTGTATAATAAATAATAATAATAAATAATTATTTTTGAAAATAATAGTAATAAATTAGATGTTAGATATATAAAATTATTAGTCGCGTAGTAAAATAGGTAAAAACTTTGCAAACACTCGGTTTAAAAAATAAATATTTATAAAAATAATAAATTATAGTCCTAGTAAATAAATTACTTTTTCTATTTGTCTTAATTTATTTACTTTTATTTAAAAACATTTATTCAATACTATTTTATTTAAATAAATAAATAATTTGTTTTAATCAAACTGTAAATGGCACAAGCTAGCGCCAGGAAAGTTAATGTCAATTGTTAGTTAAATATGCAATAATTTCCTGTTAATAAATAATTTTTAATAAGAAATAATTTTCAGATAAATTTTATAAAATAATATATTTTTCTATTACATACAAGTTAAAAAAATTAAATTTAACCGAGCTTAAGATCGATTATTTAACACTCAAATAAGCAATACTTTTTAGGTTGATGTTAAATTTTTTTTTATAATTTTCAAAAAAAAAATACTTTATATAAATATTTTGGACTATAACATAGACTATCTTCAGCGTTCAATTTAACAATAAAAAATATTTTTTACTTAAATTACCTAAAAATTATGTTCTAGTTGTTTAGAAAAAAAAATAAAATCTCACTTACCCTTTCTTCTTCACGTATCATTTCAGCGATTTCTGGTTTGATTTCCAATTCCTCATGATGGGCACCAGCGCCAGCGCCTGAACCGCCTCCACCGCTACTGCCAGCGGCAGCCGCAGCCAACGAGGCACCCAAAGCAGCCGACATGGCTGCGTGCGAGTGTGCCGCGGCATGAAGTTGTTGTTGTGCCAGTTGTTGAGCGGCAGCTGCGGCCGGATGATGCAGATGATGATGTGAGTGATGTGGATGATGTGAGCTTGCCAAAGCAGCCGCAGCAGCAGCTGCTGCCGCTGCAGGATGGGAATGTGTATTGGCACTGTTTGGAGTACCATTATCATTTGGTGAGGATCGCTGTGCACTGTTGCCATGTGCCGACGGTAGTGGAGATGAGCAACCAACCGTTGGACGATATGCTGAACTAGCTGAAGTAGCCGATGAGGAAGAAGTGCCAGAACTAGTGGTAGAAGAGGAAGTAGATGATGTGTTTGTAGTGACGCTATTATTGGATGCAGTAGTTGGATTTGGTGAAGCAAATGGATTGCGTACAATTGTGGAAGTTGTCATGGCAATGGGTTGTGTATTGGATGCGGCATCATTAGCTGGAGCATTTTCAGCAGCTGCAGCATTGTGTTGCTTCTCTGTTGGTCTTGGTAGTGGCGTATGTGAGCGACTACGACGCAAAATGCTATCATCCAATAGAGCACCATCACGTGAACGCTTGCGTTGATGATGTGCACTCAAGTTCAACTCCAAAGCTGTGGGTGCGCGTAATTTTTCCAAAGCAGCATCGAGTATGCGTGCACGTTTTGGTTTATGGCAAGCTTCCTCATCGTCATCGTCATCATCATCGTTAGTTAGCAAATGTCTGGCATCGTTTATGTCATCGTCATCCTCTTCATCGTCGTATACAGTCATGCGCTGTTCGGGTAACATGGGATGTGCAGCAACGCCGTGTGCGCCGGAGCTTACCTCGGCTAGGCCACGTATTTTCAACATTTCGGCAACTTTAAGGAGCGGATTTATTTGATCTTGTCGCACATTTATCTCGCCCTTATACATGAATTCCATGAGTGCCTTCAGCTCAGGCCAACGTACATCGCGCATTATGATGATGGGATGTTGACAAGGATTATCGTAGAATAGCGCTTGAAAATAGGGTGAGCAGGCAGATAAGACCATTTTGTGTGCTTTAATGGATTGGCCTTCGCACGCTAGTGTGACATCCACGAAGGATTCGTTCTGTAGCAGTTCATCAAAAACATTTGTTAAATTAGTTTGATAGTTGTTCCAGCGTAAACAGAACTGTTGATTGGAACTGGGCACCGTTTTCGGTTTGCTGGGTGATTTCTCTGTGTGCAGTGCTTCACGTGTGGGTTTGGGTAACTTCAGTGATGCTGCATGTGTTGCAGGCACACCATAATCACGTCCAAATTCAAAAAGTGCCGCCATATGTGGCAGCGAAGTCAAGTGATTGGGTGAAGCGGGCAATGAACGCGACTTTGGCACAGGCGTATCAACGCGCATATCAGGATCGTCAAGTGAGGCAGTCAATCCTACCACTTCGCTAGATGTCAATGGGCGTGGTGGTGGTGTTAGATCACCTGCTGTGGTAATGTTGCCAAATGTTTTCATTAAATCTGGCGTTAGAGATTTTGGACGCACTGGAGCGGTATTTGTCTCCAGTGCGGCACTTGTAGTAGCTGCGTTGCCGCCAGTACTGGGCAACAGTGGACTTAAAGTGGCTGCAGCGCTAACTGGACTTACTGTGGGTGTGACTGTGGCTGTGTTTGCCTTAAAGGTTACTTCGCTTATGTCATTTGTGGCTGTTGTTGTTGCAATTACTGGCGATACTTTTGGTAGAATGGCATTCAAGCTGTCCGCTTGATGCACATAATCAATATTATCCTTTGTCATATCCATTATTAATTATTTTTTATATTTTATGTTTATTTGTATTAAATTGAATTAAATTTTTTTTTCAGTCAGCAATTTTTTGGTTTTTAAATCATTTTAACGACTGTGGGCCGCTGTGTGCAACAACATTTCTTCTTGTTCTGAGACTGTTGGCAACATAAAAAAGTAAATCAGCAACTTCGCTCCGATTTTATTTATTATTTTAATTTATTTTAGTATATAAATATATATAATTTTATGTATTTGTTTTTTATCTTTCGCTTCAAATTAATGGCAAAAGTTTTTATCGCTATTATTGCGCTTTGTTGTTGTGCTTGTTGTGGTTGGTGTTGTTGTTGTTGTTGTATTAATTAATGTTTATTATTTATTTCAACAGTGTTTCCAAAAAAAAAAAAACGTACGTTTCACTTTGGCCACATACAGACGCAGTGGAAAATTGTTTACTAATACACTGACACTCGCACATAAATACACAAATTTATAAAGACAAATGTACGTTACATTAAGTCAAATTAAGTTGGGCTATGGCTATGTATGAGCGCTACACTGCACCGCACCGAGCATTCATAAAATTTAATTATATTTATTATTGTTATTATTATATATTTTTTTTTTGTTTCTGTTTTTGTTGATTTTTTTTATTTCTTTTTATGTTTATTATTATTATATTTTCATTCCAATTAAATCTTGTGACTATTATTGTTGTTGCTTGTGCTGCTGCTGCTGCTACTCGCTGTGTTTGTAGTATTCTTGTTGTTGTTGTTGTTGTGGCATAGTCATCGCCACCCAATTTAATACACTTGCCCTCTGCTGCTAATACACTTGCCTGGTGTGGTTGTGTGTTTGCGTTTGGTTCGGTTTGGTTTGGTTTGGTTTAAGGCTTACTTGAAGCAGTACTAAGAAGTGCGGCGGGTACAGTTCACTGAATTGGTATGGCTCGACTTGAATCGGATTTCCTTATGTTTATGCTGGTTTCGGTGTTGGCGTTGACGTTGACGTTAACGTTAACGTTTACGTCCCTTTAGCTGCCAATACCAATGACGATGCTTACTTGAAAGTTGCTTTTCGTCTGCCAAAAAAAATATTTTATTATTTAATAATATTAATTCTCCTTTCTGTTTTATTTTATTATTATTAATTTTTCATGAAACAACAACGGTGGCGCTCGTTCACTGTTCTAAGGGCGCTTGAGAGTTCGCAACTATACAACTCGCTGGATTTTACTGAAGTTCACATATAATTGTACACTCGCTTGCCCGTAAGCAACTCACAATAATAACAAAAACAAAATATACCAAACTTTGTCCGTTGTAGATATGGGCGAATAAGTGTAAATCTGTCTGTGCAGCATACAATGTGATTATTCACATACATACACACACACATATATCCACAATACAAAATATATCTGCTTTTTTATTACTTTTATATTTAATTTATAATTTATTTTTAACGTTTTGCTGTTATGCTATTATGTTGTTCGGCTGTTCTGCTGTTCTGCTTTCTGCTGTTCTGCTGTTCGCCTTAATGCTAACGATGCTGGTTGGCTCTGCTGTTACTGTTTCTGTAACTGTTGTCCTTTGCCTTAATGTGTAATATTGTATTTATATATTAATGCATACACATTCGCACGAACACACGTATCTATACATATATATATATTTATTTATATGCTTATTTATTATTTATGTAGAAAGTAATAAATTACGCAAGTGTCGGCATAAAATGTTTTTACTATGGACTCAAGCGATACCCAACTTTATGCTATTATATTTCGGGGGGGTTGGGTGTTGTATGTTCCTTACTACTGCTCCGTGCTGAGGTTTGTATGCCTGTGTGTGTGTGCGTGTGTGTGTGTGACGCGTAGGAATGTTGTTAAACTTTACTACAAGACGAAAACACAAGAACACCAACAAATACAACAACAACGGCAACGGCAATGGCAATTCATAGAACTATAATAACACAAACAATGTTTACAAAACTGCTTGCTTTTCCTTAATAACGTTTACGTTTTTGCTTCTTCTTTTGTTTTTGTGTTTTCTTGTTTTTGTTTTTGTTGTTGTTGTTGTTGTAATTTTAACTTGTGCTTCCTTACTGCTCCTAAGAAGCTTGCGCGCGCGAGTATGCTTTTCTTTTTGTGTTAATTTTTTTATTACAATTTCTTGTCGGGAATGAAGAAGTTTACTAGGAGATGATGCTACCATACAATAACGGCAACGGCAACGACAGCGGCGGCGGCTATACTCCTTCCCGTTTTTATTGCCACCCACTTTTGCTACGATATTAAGCGCTGTGTTCTTCTTATTCTTACTATGTATGTTTGTTTGAATGTTCGTATAATTTACGGGTTGGCGGAGTGCAGTATGAAGTGTTATAAATTAATAAATTACAATTTGTAGCTGCAATGGAAACTTTTTACTTTAGCCTTACAAGAAATCGATTTTTGTGCTGTATATTTTAAGTAATAATATAGAAATTTATGTATAATTGCATTAATTAAACGTCTAAATTGCGTTGTAAATTACACTTTTTATTAATAAAAAAATTAATTATATTTTTTTGGTTTATAGTTCAATAACAGTTTTTTTTTTCATTTATTATAGCGATTTGTTTTAATTTTTTTTTTTTGTTTGTTTTGCAAGCAATTATTTATTTTATTAATTAATTTTTTATTAGCTATAAAATTTTTCACACTTGACACTTTTTTCAAAAAAACGCGGTTCAAATAATAACGTACTGTTAGTTAGCAATGCACTGCTTGTGCTGTTCACTTAACTGCCGCGTTACATATAACCACTCTCAACAATATACAACGAAAGACTGTTGTGAATGAACGGAAAAAATCCGATTAAACTTCCACAATCGTCACAAGTTGATAATCAACTAAAAAAATACATGCAGTCGAACGCGAGCAAGAGAGCCAAAAACCAAAAACCAAATAACATTTTATATTTTGTTGTATTTGTTGCTGTTTTTGTTTTTGTATTGCGCTCTCAATTCGTTAGCACATGCTTAGCACAACAATTACACAAATTTATAAATTTATAAATTTATATGCGGTAAATGCTAACTAAGCACTGGAGGATCATCAAACCAATATTAATTTTAATAAATAAAATTAATTAAATAAATTCTTTTTTATATATTAATTGAAATATTTTATAAATAAAATTTAAAGTGTTCATCTATAAATGACATGACATATTAAAATAATATTTTTTTATAAGTTATATTAATTTATGTAAATATAGAATAACAATGTACAAACATCCAACTGCTGATTTGAGTTTACGCAGTTGCTGCGCTGCTGGCTTTGCATTTGTTTTTGGACTTAGCTGTGACTATATGCGTGAGTAAAACGATTACTGTTTGCTTGTGTTTTGAGCAGGAAATTTGTATGCTGCTGAGAGCATTCTTGTTTGCATTTTTGTGGGCTTCTTAAGGGTTTGAGTTGGTGTTCTGTTATTCATTTTGTTTCTTATGCATTTTACGCTCTGCAGAGGAGAAATATGGTAACGAAACACACAATTTTTTATTGCGGCGAATTGCCACAATTTTTATATAAAACGTTTGCACTCAACTATTTACTACTAGAAATTTTATTTCAAATATAAAATAAATTTATTTAAATATTAAATATAATATAAATATAAAAATAAATATAATATAAATAATATAAAATTTTTAATTTGAAAGTAGTTGAAATATTTATAAAAACTATTTGTGGCTGAAAATAATAATTAATAGTGACAGGAATTTTTATTAAAATACGATAAACTGCTTTATATTTAATGTTGCGTTTCCCCTCTATTTCTGACATTAAGAAATATTTATTAAATAAAATTAATGCAATTATTTTTTATTTTAATTTATAAGAAGCAAATTGTTTAGTCATATAAAATTCATGAATGTAAAAGAAAAGATTTAATTTACATACTTAGATATACTTGTATTGAGGTGTAGTCAAAATTTAATGAAATTAAATAATTTGTATATTTATTAATATATATATACTTTTTCAAACTTTAACAAAATATTTAATTATTCAGTACAAAATTTTTTTATTAATTTGTAAAACTATTTTTTATTTAATTCGTTCTATTTTTATATAATTTTTTTTATACAAAATTAAATATATATAAAGAAAATATGGTTTTATTTCAGTTATTTTAGAGAAGCCTTTATATTAATTTATTTAGATTTTAGAAAATTTTATTTAAAAAGAATTATCAATAATATATACAAAAGTCAAAACAAAATTAATTTTTTAATAATGAATTATAAAGTGTTTTTTTCGAAAAGTAGTAAACTACAACAACAAAAAATTATTTATGTATTATTTTAATTAATTGAATTATATATAAAATAATTTGTGAAACAATCTTCAGTTATTAACCGAGTTATATGTATAATATTATGCATCGACTAATTTTAATGAAAAAAATTTATTTAAAAATTTTATAATATTATAATATTACATATTAACTCTCCTTAATTGAAATTATTTATTGAAAAGCAAATGAAAATTTCTGTTTTAATTAATTTTTGTATATAAGAAAACTTTAGTTATTTATTTAAAACTTTATTGTTTTCTTAAACTTTGTATCTTTAGAATTATGCAAATAAATATATAAATTATTATTTAAAATAAATTTTATTATATAAAAGTTCTGGATATTGTGATATGAAGAGAGTGATGAGTATTAATAGCGCTGTCTCATTGTAGTAGGAAGAAACTGTTGGTTATACAAGACGATGTCCCATTGTGGTAAGAAGAGATTGATGTGTATAGGGTGCAATGCCACGTTGAAAAAAATGCTTCAAAATATTATTTCAAAATGAAAAAAAATGGCCATAATGAAACAATGATTTAATAAAATATAATAGATAGGTAGGGAAAGATGGAGATACAGCTATTAAAATCCTTTCCTGATTTGATAACTTTGTTTTTGTTCTTGTCACTTTTTGTAAAGGAAAATTCTTTAATTGGGGTCCCTTTTTTCTTTTGATCAACTGCTTGAATTACCCATTAAGAGATCCGTGCATCTTTTGAGTTTTTTCTTATTTTAAGGACAATAAAATAAAAAAAAATAAAAAAAAATTATTTCATAAAAATATATTTCTTTATTTATCATTAAAATGTATATATAGTTCTTTTATTATTTTACGCTAAACTTGATAAGATCTATAATAAATGAAGAACACGTTTTGACCGTCTTTATGTATTAAATAAATAAGATTTATTTCACTCTTATTGTCTTTAAAACTTTATTGAAGTTTTAGGTTCATTTTTACAGTCGTTACTTATTTCCCAGAACTAATATAAGTATGAATTAAATCGACAAAGTTAATGACTTAAGCATTTCTTAACTTAGTATTGTGACTTAACTTACGACTATGCAATCGAACTCATGATCTTATGATATTTCAGAAATTCCTTTTTAACTAATAAATACATGAGGTTATCAACATAAAACTATAGTTAACAATTTTTCAAATAAGAAAAACAAAAAAGATCGCCGTGTTATTGTTTTTTAAGCTCGCATTTGTTTGCAATTAATCTTCATCAATAAAATCATCAGAACGATATGGCCCGAAGTGTGTGCATACAGAGAAACT